TGTTTACCTACTTTGTGGTGTGGGTGTTTAAAGCACTAATCATTTCTGCAGATCTCTTTCAATGTTACCTAAGCAGTATTGCTAAATACATTTTGAAACCATAGCCATATGTGTGATTCATTATCTGGCCTAGCCAGTTTGGTAAGAAATTTATTCTCAATTATTTACAATCAAGGTTTTGCTTTGAGCGATACCATCAGGGAAGTCTTGAAGACTCAGATAACAAGAAGTAAACGATTGACATATTTCCACAATAGGCAAAATAGGCAGGAATGTCAAAAAGATTAGAAGAGGCTTCTATCAGCTCACTGCTAATATCCTCTATACATTGCCATGCCCTAGATTAACTGAAACAATTAATAAATCTTTTAAAAGAAAAAGCCCCACCTTCATTCAGAAATGCACACTGTGTGGAAAGATACTGAGAGGCTGAAGCACTGTATTTCTGACAGATTTAACTGCCAGACTTGGAAATATCTGTTGAATCCTTCATAAATTCAAGACACTTCATTTGGGAATGAAAATATCTACAAGTGCTCAAGTTTGCCCAAAATGTGTCTGAGTTGCTAATCCTCTGCTGTTAAAAAGGAGGGATAAACCTGACATGTCAGGGCAGGAATCAAGCTCATAAGCGCAAACTATCTGACTAGCTGCACTTGCCTCTTCCTCTGGCTGTGCGTGAGAGTGAGTCAACTGTCAGCCAAGACAGGGACAGTCACTAGGAAGATCTTGCTCACATGTGTGAGCTTTGCCTCCACACAAGTGCCGCGAGCTACTTGGCTCTGGAAACTTGAGCCCAGCTATCAAAGACGTAACCAGAGAGCACTGGCACTTCATCTGACTCCCACGTAGTCCTCAGGTAGTTCCAGAAAGGAAAAAAAAAAAAAAAATCTCAGTCGCAATCTCTAGTCCGACCTTTTGGTGATTTTCATTCATTTAAATGACAGAAGAGACTTCAGAAATAGGAAACAAACCTAATCAGGAGAAAGGTGCTATTGCACGCTCCTCTTAGGACAGTGGACCAAATCCATCCTTGGTGCTAACTCCCTGCAAGTCAGAGCAGCAGCTAAACTTGTCCAAGCGTGCCAATTTCCTTTTGGCTGTGTCTCTCCAACCCTCTAAAATTTGTCAGTGTAAATTGACCGCTTGTTTTGCTCAAGAGAATTTCCTGAAGTCCCCACACAGAAACTGTCTGGCATTGCCATATGAGCTGTCTCAGTTGCCCAGATTATCTCACCTCATGCTCTGAGGAGGCCAGAGGTGTTACTTTGTCCCACCAGAACTATATAACCGGCTACCAAACATAAAAAAAAGTTTCTACATCTTCACAAAGTCTTTAGCAGGTCTGTTTGTTTTAAAACTCCCACTACTAGCTACGTGCAGTAAGGATCGTGTCACTGGAGCGGGCCCCTAACCACTGCGATTACAGAATGGGCTGAAAAGGTTGAATGTGAAAACTGCTAAAGCTGACACTTAAGACCAAGATGTGGTCTTGCTAATAGCTCATGCTATCAGCTGCACTCTAGATTTAAGCACGTTACTCTAGGATAGCAAACAACCACTTTGAAAGAGAAGGCCAGGATCTGGCTGCTGTTAGGGCAATGGTGTCATGTATAACAAATACATGCCCTTGTCTGTGTAAACAGTCAGGTGACGTCTCCTCATGGGTGGAGTCATGCATGAGTCTTGACTACTGCATGAGTCCCGAGTCTCTTTCAACCACAGAACTGGCTTGCTGAGGGAAAGGAGTGGAACCTAAGTTTTCTCAATTCATTGTACTGCCTCAAAGAAGCACAGTACAGCCTCCGGACACTGATAATTGTGTAATAACTTGTCTTCATTTTTGCTTTGAACTCACAGCAAACAAAGGGGCCAGTTCTGCACTGAGGAGAAAGAATTTTACACCACCTTTCTGGACCGCACTTAGATTTCATAGTTTTAAGGTTGCCTACCAGCTGCTACTCAAACTCGTTCTTCTTCGGACAGCTATCATGGCATTGCACAACTCTCCTCCCTGCTCACTTTCTACACCAGCTTTTGCAAATAGGATGGCAGCCTTGTGCTGTGGATGCAAACCTAACAATCCATGGACGTTTATATTCCCTTTACGGAAAAAAAATCTACTGTTGGTATAGTACAATCTACTGAACCTTAAAGGTCTTGCAGTGATTCTCCCTTGCATTTTCTTGTGCTGAGAAAGTGGAAAAGAGCATTCATTGTGTTTGTGAGGCTGGACTGTGCTCATCTGTAAATAGAACACTTAAAGTTGCCAATAATTTTCATTTAATACGAAGAGCTTTATCTGGGGGAATCAACAAGAACATACAATTAGCTTGCCTTAAAATAAGCTGTTTGGGTTTTTGCTGTTTGGTCTTTCTTTAACAGATCACCAGGACTGGAACGAAAAGAAATGATTGAAAAACTTATTTCGCTTGTTACTTACTGTACCAACGCACACTGATCTGCTACACAAACTGCAATGAGACCCGAGGATGAGGAATTTGTCCTTGTCAGGGGTGAAAGGATCCTTCATGACATAGCTTTCTTCCAAAAGCCTGTAAGAGAATAATTTCAGGTTTTTAAGGGCAGATTTCACAGTATGGGAGAGTTGAAATGGGGAAATTGTGGAAGCTGAAAAGGTATCAGCCCTTTCTTCTTGATTTGCTCAGCCTGGTGTTGTACATGAGGCGACGTAGCAGCTATGCAGCTCCCTTCCTCTTCAAAACCAACACTGTGGCTGCCTTCAGTCCTATACTGCACTTTCTATCTATCTTTCAAAATTAGGGCAATTGGTGATCATCTCAATACTGTCTTACTAGGTTTTTCTCAGTGCTCTACCTTAAAGTATTTTTTATCTTCCATTTTTATGAGAGGCACTCCTTCACATGGCTAACTTCAGTACCTTGTCAAGCTATCATTACAGTTGCACAGCTTTTCATTAAAAGTTCTTTTCCAAAGCTGTGTGCATGTGAGTATAAAACACAAAGTTTTTACTGCTCTTAGTTATGTCACTGCTGTAAAGCTAAGGTTCCCACCTCTTGCAAGCAAGAGCTACTAGCACAGAACATTACAGTGACCTGAAATATTCTTTCTTTATGTCAGAGACTGTACTGTTTGCTTCAGGGTATTCAGGGAGTGCATTTATTAATAATTTGGCAACCTGCTTGGGAAAGACTAAGGCCTTATTCTTCCTGAGAGCTCCAGGCAAAATATTACAGAAGTCAGTTGGGTGTCTGTCTGCACAGGGCACCCTGCAAGGCTGGCTTATTCTTGGACTTATATCAAACTTGGATTCTGTAGTAATATGGAGTACAATACATATTTAAAAGGTATTCTGTTAACTCATACTACCTTCTCCTTGTCTACATACATACACACACACACACACATATGTATGTGTGTGTCTGTGAGCGTATTCCTTTTTCCTTTCCTTCTCTACTCAAACAAAAACATGGCTGAAGCCTTCCACTGTTAGGAAAGATCAGGCATCTTAACATGGCAGATCACCTTGTCAACAAGTCTCCTAGTGTCCAAAGACTGGATTACCTTTGCAAAGCTCCCCTTGCAAGATTCACAATCTTAATGTAGTCATCATCAGTGCAGAGACCTGGCCATTGTACAAGCCTTCATGTCTGGCATTTGTTTCCTGCAGCATTGCATTTAGGACACGTGAGTAGACCAGAAAGTAAGCCAATAAAGACAGTGTGTAAAGCTATTTCTTATATGCATGTACAGAAGCGTTATGCTTCAGCACCATTCTTTTGCTTTTTGAATCTCAGCAATCCAAATAAAGCTGAGATGTTAACACTGAGCTTGGACAACCTAAAGTTAAGGTTCATATTCAGCTTTGATTCAGACTCTTTACGAATGCACCTGATCAAGGATGGGCCATTGCTCTGCTGAGTAGAAGCAGGAAAACCAGTAGCACCGTGGGATTTGGAATGATAAAAATACAGCTGCCCAAGGAAAACAGATCTGATCTCAGCCCAAGCAGGTGGTCATCAACAGCTGTTTCCATTATATAAGAAACTGAGCAGTCTTAGTGAGGTGAAATGCTGAGTACATGTCTGACTTCCAATTCCAGTGAGTTCCTGACCACGTTTGCCTGATGGGTTCGTTGACTGGGACGGCCTCAACAGAGCTACTCCTACATTTGAAGCCAAGCAAGTGCTTTGTTTTATGGGGAGTTTAATGTCTGCAGACAAAGTCATAACTGCATAGTTTCTGGTCAAACTATCCCTACTTGGCAGAGATGGAAAAGGCTTCAGTCTCCTAAAATGTAAATATGTACTAAATTTCTACACACTTTAATGTCATACAATCTGCCAAAGAATTGTCTAATTCATGCAAAAAAGCATTGCTGTTCAAAATTCCACGTCATGTCAAACAGCTCTTAAAAAGTGGTTTTACCATATGTATCTAATTCATGCTGTGTTTACGTGTTGCCCAGCTGACACAGCTGTGAGGAAAGGGCTATTCCCAGAAATGCTAGGCTGACAGTCAACAGTATTCTAGTAAAAAAATTATGGTATAGGTAAATAGTAGGGTGGCCAGCGGGGTTAGGAAATAGGTTAAATACAAATCTTTGCATGGTATTGAAGCAGGACGGGAAAGTTGATTTTTGTCTTTGCTATCAATGCTGCCAATTTTTAACATTTCTTCCCTTTGGAAAAAGAAGGTCACTTGAAGTACCAAGCCTCATATTCAGGGACAACATGGCTTGTTATTGGGCTCATGCAGTGCACATTGTTCCACAGTACAAGGCTTCTAATGCTCATAGCATAAATGAAGTCTGTAATATGAAAGACTGTACTTACACAATAGAGCGTGTGTTTGGTGGCTTCTGCCCATAGTACGTATATGGAGCTGTTAAGCCACATAGCTGACATTTGAACTCTCCTGTAGGCTGAGCTTCTTTGGTAGCATCCATCTTTAAGCTACCTACAAGAAACACAAAGATCTTTTAGCTCCAAAATGCGGTACTGGGAACATGCCTGCAAGAAGATTAAACTGATGTGGGACATCTGGCTATGCAAATTAAAATCCAATGGAAAATTGACTATTGCGAACCTCAATTAGTAAATCTTTTCTCCCAAATCAAGTTGGTTTCCCATGTCCCAGTTAAATTTCAGAATTCCTTCGATAGGTTTAGAAATGGCAGCCTAGGAGCCAAACTATAGAAGTTCACCTATTAATTTAGAACTTGATCCATAAAAGAATTTAGGTTACAAAGTATATGGCTGTGACTGGAAAACCCTTTGCTCAACCGAGGCCTGTGCTCCCTAAGTGCTTCCCAGGAAACGACTCCCTCTCTGCGGTACAGAATCCCAATCCAGTTCTGCAATGCCTGTCTCCTCCCACAAACTGCAAATGAAAGGGTTTGGGACCCTGCTCAGGAGGCAGGTACCAGAAAGGTAGGTGTCGCAATGATTTACTACGTCTTTTTCATTGCTTCTGGTTCACCTTCGAATAGAGTTTTGGGAGCTTAACCCTGGCTCCCTGTTCTTATCTGGCTTCCTATGGAAATGAGGCTGATGTAATCACCCTGTGCCTAGATAGAGTGTTGGCCCATTGAAGCCACACAGGACAGAGGAGGAGGTACCTTCAAAAAAGTTTAGGTCCTATAACTTTTATGAAAATAGGCAGAAGAGGGAGACTCTGCTTTATCCTCAGGGAGGATACCTGTGATAAGTGGTATATTGTTTGTTCACCAAACTTGATGAGACAATTGCCTTTTGTGGTATAAGCTAAGGAAACTGGCTATGAGAGTTTGGACTTTGCCTAAGGTAATGAAATATGACAACTCAGAATATTTGTAAAGGAATTTACAAATTTCAGAGAAATGGGGGAAATGAAAGGATTAAATCCCTGACAATCCCTGACTAAAACCTTGCTGTGATTTTTCTTAGCTTCACTTGCATAGTTTTAGTGATTTAGTAGAGATATGTAAATTCTTACCTGACCAGAATTTACAGGCCTTGAGCTAGCTCATTAGGCCTCCGATCACTGACAATAGAAACTCAGGACGACTGTGTCAAGTAAGTGCTAAAAAACTAGTTAAACTGACCCCCTTGTAACATTCCAGAGTCAAAGGACTGATAAGCTAATTCAATGACTATATATGGACAAAGGAAGCCCAAAGTTCAACCAGAGGACAGAGTGAAGAAGACTATGGACGACCACCGGAGTGTGAAAAGACCCTAACCCCAATTTTACTGCACATGCTTGGACTATGTAAATGAATTCTGGGAACTCATCACCATAAGACTACCCTTTCCAGGAAATCTGATGAATATGTATGATTTTTCTGTACATAACCTGATGTGCTTTGCCAACCCGTGTGTGCCATCGGTGGAGCAGAGGCTCCCGGGCCACCCAGCGCTGTTTTGCTTATTGCCATTTCTTGCTAATTAATAAATTGATCATACACTCAAACCAGTCTCACCGTGATTTGTGAGAGTTACACATAACAATACCCATATATTTCTATAAATCAGAGAATCTACACATAGGAAAGCTATTGTCCATCCGTCTGAAAGATTTCAGACACCCATTACAAAGGTGTAGCTATCAGTCACAAGATATAAAACGTACGAAGCCGTGCGTCATCAGCTTTGGTGCTTACAAGATGACTTTGGCCACTGATTTACATTTGGGAGCTTATCCTTCACTGATACCACTTTAGTTGAGAGTCAAACCCTGAGGTTTTCAAAAAGCATGGTGTGGCAAGTATGCTTTTAGGACTGATTTTGGTACGTATGCATGATCAGATCAAACACTGCTAACCACGTTATTGCACCAATCCATGAATGAAATGCGATTGCTTGTTTGCAAACTGGCTTATCTTCGGTCACCTGCACCATTTTCTGGAACAGACACATTTACCTTGCAGTTAGCAAGAAAACTCAAGCTTTTAGCTGAATGCCCTCACACTTCTCATGGCATGCAGTTTTCTGCTGCAAACCTGTCAGCTTTTTTAAGTGAAGCGGAGCTGGCATCAAGCTGTTAGGAAGGTAAGCACTAGGAACTTGGATTTGGGCAACATCTCAGCAGTTAGGTTGTGCGTGGTCACAGCTGAGCAGACATACAGTCTGCCAAAGCACAGCAGGTCATTCCCACTCGTCAAGGTTTGCAGCCATACCCTTCCCCCGCAGAGCTGATTCAGTTCACTAAGGCCATGTCTCTATTTATGTTTTAGCTCAGCTCAGGGGTTTTCTTTGGGAACAAATTGCCTGACTGTCCCCGCTTACCACACTTGGTTTGCATTGTGGAGCAGTCTTAAAGCACACAAACCGGGACAGTTTCAGGTGAAACTAAACTGAAAGATGTGCTCCAGAAGCACACCTAAGACACTCCAACCTGAATGGCCAACTAATGGGCCATTCATCTACAGGCTAGGACCAGAGGTAGTCTGAAACGTCCTGAAACATAGCAAGTGGGCAGCTGGTATCCAACAAGAAACACCTTGGTCTATGGTTTCACTCTTACTGCATCACACTAGTTACTAATGTGGTAACAAATAAAAGAACCACCTCTTTTTTTTTTTCCTTGCAAAGTCTTTTTTTCTCTCGTTTTAGGGAACTAAATTGGCTTGCAGAGGAATCCAACAACTGCTAACAGTAGTACAAGGTAAGAGGCAAAACTGCACAGCCAGGAGAAAGGGCGGGCTGAGATGGGGGACCTGTATTTCCCTCTTTCAGTGACAGTAAGCTGCTATTTCTGCTCACTCTGTGTGGTGAAACTGAATCCTTAGAGACATATGCTGCTAAGGTGAATTAGGGGCAAGGTGAAGCAGAGCTGTGACTACTTGTCTTCTAATGTTCCAGAAGAACAGGGAGCCCCAAGATCCTCAGAGGTTACAGAGGCTTCATAACAGACACCCAGTTCAGAAAACCCTAGCCTGTTAAATCCTGAAACTTAATTTTGGGAATAATCTCCCTTACCCCATCATTCCTTCAGCACCAGCCTTTCCACTGCCATTCCTGGCATTTCAGTAGTACAGGGAGTTCTTCAAATGTAACACAAATGGGGCTGGGTACTGGTTTAATAAAAAAACCCAACTCGTGAATACCTTAGGCAACTACATTTTTTCAAAAGTGATGTAACCCTTGGATATAATGTATTTTCCCTACCTCACAGGGATGCTTGAGAGAATTTAATTAACTAAAGTGCTTTCAGATTTTTCAGTTAGATATGGCATGCACATGCTACCTGTTTCTCCCTGTATATTAAAACTGGGATTCTTCAAACTATACACAAACTCAGCTAAGAAGTCTGCTTTTTGAACCCTGCATTTTAGGTTTACCAGATAAATCCCCCAAACATACTTAAATTTACCTTTTCTGTAGGTAGTCAGTAGCAGTACCAAGACACCCACCTGTCTGAATGAGATTCAGTCCTGAACATTGTATGCAATTTTTTGTAATCAATCTTTTTTAAAAAGGGGAAATAATTAACCCCACAAAGGTAGAGTATGGAAAGTCACTTGAATCAAAGACAGAAGACCATCATGGTGATCTTTTCTTTAAAATAAAGCAAAACACTAAGAACAACAACAACAAAAAAAGAGTATTTATGGCAGTGAGGATCATAGACTTTGGAACGAATGTGTCCTGATTCCAAGTCAAAATAGCAGCCCTGGGTTCAGAGCCGAAGTACGTTAGATATAGAAACACCTGCTCTCTTATAGACCATTGGCATGTAGAACAGAATCTGTCCAGTGACTACCACTGGGAAGGAATGGTATCTATGTACAAACAGATTTTTGGCTATGCCAGTTGAAAAGCATATGATCCTGCCTGCAAGGCACAGATGAATTTATGATGCTTTCCATTTTACTCCCAGCTTACAAGTCACTGGTATCAGCTGTACCAAGTTTTATTTCACTGGGAACACCATTTGTCCTGAGAGCTTGGCTACACAGCAGCACTTGGGAAACTTAAGGTCACTAACTCAAGGTGTGAAGTTAATATACATGCAGATTTCAGGGTGAATGCTCCCATTCAGAAGTAAAGTTTGCTATGTAACAAAACAAAGCCATTTTCCCTCTGAAGAAAGAAATTTAACGGCAGATGTAATAAACTTTTAGTTTATGCATCTGCTTCACACCTTTAGTCTAAATCACCAAGCAGACAAGTCCTAAGATGCACTCTCTCACAAAGCTTCTAATACTTCCAAAAAGCTCGTCTGCAATTAAAGAACTGTATCTTTATGTCGGATAGCAAATGCACAGAAGCAATTCTGGGATAAAACCACAGTCGAGACAGACATTGGTTTATCACAAAGCTCATTGGTTTGGCCCTATACACCATCTTAGCAAGATGCCTGATATGACAACTATGACAAGGTGTCTGCCTCCCCTCCAAGCAGACATACGAAGCATAAGTGAGAACTTGTTTCTCTCTAGCATACCAACAACAGGATGAAGGATCTCGAGGAGATAAAAGTCTAGGGCACTAATCCCTTCATAACCATGACAGGCAAATTTGTAACCTCAAGTGACTCAAATCATCACCAGTGCTAACACTGGCTTTTTCTCCTTTCCTTGAACATTTTTGAAGCAGCACCACGTCCCAGTAACACGTCAAGTATCTGGCTGGCTGGTATGTACTGAAGAAGTCTTTTAGAACAGCTTGTTTAGAACTGAATTCTGCCCAAGCATTTGCCATTTTGGCTGGAAGCCGCAAGGTACTTAAACACATACTTACTTTAAGCACATGTATAGCTCTTCTGAAAAGAACACGGCTACCCACACATGCTTGATTACGAAGCAAACACGGAACTAGCACGCTCAGCAGAAACCTGCTAAGTCAAGCCCAGAATGCTGCAGGACATGTGTGAGGTTGGCCCACGTGTCATGGCGAAAGGTAAAGCATACGGATTTGAATGCTGTACTAAGGAAATAACTGCAGCAAAAGAAAGGCGCAGGTTAGCCAGCAGTGCTGTAAGAGTGTTTCTCCATGCTGTGATTGATACATGATACGGATGTGGGGAAACGGCTCTCAGTGCAGTTCTCTAGGGACTCCTAAAAACTTCAGGGCAGTTCTGCTCGGAGCATTCTGCTAACAGGCCTGGAAGGCACGCCAGAAATAATAAATCACCATTAAATTGTCAGGGTCAGTGGCAAAGTAGCGGCACAGATAAGTAATCTGATTTTCTTTGCTTCAAACCTCATTAGCACAAGTCTTTACAATGCATAGGTTAAGCCCCTCTTAATACTTCACAGGAGACTCATGTATTTCTGAGTCACTGATAAACTAGAGAAACTACACAAGAAACAAACTGCCTACAAACACATGTAGACTTTGATTTGAAAGGGTGTCAGATAAAACCAACATTGACACACCTTTAATCCTCTCCAATTAAACCCTTGTTTCTTTTTCCTGCCAAGATTTTCCTGCAGTATCCACTGTTGATGACGATGACCTATTAAAATACTCACAGCTTGATTCTCTATGGGAAGGAGTGCTCTCTAATAGAAGGGTAGGAGCCACTGAATTCATAGCCTGGTAAATGCCAAGTTATTTTGCAGTGTTTGGTGTGATATAAATTTAAATACACTTCAGCACCAGGAATGCACTCACCTCCTTCAGAAAAAGGATCTGTTGCCTAATTACTCAGGTAATAGATGAAACAGCAGAACCTTCTTACTTGCTAGTTAATCCCCAGGTGAACAACTCTCTCCTTCCAGTTCCTTCATGTTATTGCCCTGAAGGCATGTTTAGGTCACCTGTTGGCTGCCTCCCTGCTCTTCTTTGAGGTGACTTACCTCGGGTTCAGTGTAACAAATTAGCCCAGGAATGCAATTTCACCAAGCGTGGCCATTTGGAACTTTTACCTTTATTACCTCTCCCAAAGATCACTTGATTGAATTAAACCTTGACTTGTTGCAGCAACTTCTCCCTTCAGGCCAGGGGGGTTGTGCTGGTATTGCTATGCTCTCTCTGCTCTGAAGGACACAGGCTTCCCTCTAGGGGTGGGTCATACAGCAGGCCCCAAGCCCCGCTTTTTAACAACAGCTTGCGTGGACTCCCTGTGGCTGTATGATAAACAGCCTAGGTGGTCACAGATGTGAAAGCGAGCATGTTTTCTGAACAGTTGTAGGGAATGTTTGAACAGGGTGTGTCAGCAGAAGGAGAGAAGACAAGCAAATCAAACCCCTTCCTCAGGTGAAAAGGCTTTACGAACACAAGATGAATCTCAAAATGGCATCTATTGATGCATGATTTAACAAAGCTGAGAAACTAACACTTAAAAAAATCTGGCCCAAGTACTCCTTACTTGAATATGGCAGGCAGCCAGCTCTGAATTAGACAGCATTTAATAAAGAAGAATCTCAAATTAGGTGAGAATTTAACAGCTTCACACAGGAATGCTGCAACAAGGCACTGATTAACCGGTATATACCACTGTCCTCTAGTGGACACACCGGCACTGTACAGCCCCGGTGACCGGCACTATCACTGTCACTAGCTGCGGGGAATTCTCGTTTCAGCACCTCAGCCGTTCAGAGTGACTCAGCTGTAAAAGCCCAGCTAAGTGGATCACGCAGTAAGAGTGAATGACAGAATAAAATAAAAGCAAGTGGCCCAAGCATTTATGGTAGAGGCCATCTCCACGCCTGGTTGCAGAGGCACAGCGAATGGTGGATCTCTTTGCTGCGTAACAGAACAAACAACCCTGACAGGGGAGGGAGAACCACAGCGTCATTAGTCCTTCCTTTCCTTCCCCCCAAAATTACTCTGTGGTCATATCTGGTTTTCTGCTCGATCCCCCTCATTCCTGTTTCTTCTCCTTCTCTTCCAACAGGCTTTCCCAAACAGCGTACAAAGCTTATCACATCATCATCCATGATGCCATTCTAACATGTTATACGTAAAATGGCCTAGAAATTAAAGGAAGGCAAAGCAAGCCTGTTGCTCTTCTCACAGCACAGTTACAGGGACTTACTGGAGAGGAGGTAACACAGGAGATCCAAACACTGAAGCGTTCACTGAAGTGAACATGAGTTCTGGACTACAGTTATTCCTTGCCAAAAGTGGGAAACCAGACCTGAGGTCTGATTTCATTAAATGTCCCTTCTGGGAGAGCCACAATAAAAAAGCATGCTATGGCCATAGGTTACCCCCTGCCCTGAACTGATTTTGTCTTCTTTCCAAACTGTAGCTCCCTATTATAGCTTTGTTAGATTAATATCCGTAGTGGAGAAGAATAAGACGGTAAGGCTCTATTAATATATGTGATGATGATTCTTTTAAAGTTGTCCTTTAAGAAAAGTTATGGAGAGCACACATGTACCATTGAAAGTATCAGCTTGGTTAAGCACAATCTAAACTTAGTGCAAGTTTCCAACAGAGTCTAAAAATAGGAACACCAAGATTTTGTGGAAATACACGAGGAGAGGCTAACACGGTGTTTTGGGAAATAAGACACTGCAACCTGACATAATCCTGAAGGAAATAAATATAGCTTCACTGATTTATCTCCCTACAGAAAGCAAAGTTGGTACTGTAAATACTCAGCCCCCACTCCGTGGAGCTGGATGTTACAATGCGCTTGCTGTGACAGCCAGTGCCCACTTTCCACTGTGACCAGCAAGATGTTCAGCGTTAGTATACTTGGGGAAGAGAATTCTTTCCAGTAAAATGCGACTGAGGCTCTCGGTTTGTTAGGACTGAGGTCAAGTTGAGGACTGCATAATGACGTAAAGCAAAGCCTTCAAAAGGAAAAGAAAACACAGAACTACTGGAGGGGTTGGGGGGTGGGTATGGGGTAAAGAGTGTCAGCTTCAAGAAAACCTGAGAATAAAGACGTGTACCTACTATACATATACTTTCTCATGCACATAGCCCCGCAGACCTTCTTACAGGCATGCCCATTTCCTCTTAAAGACATGCTCCTCAATTTTTGTTATCCCAGCTATTGTGAACAGCAAGCACGAGAAAACACCAGAGAGAGGTATTTCCAGCACATTTGATAAAGCAAAGCAGTCCACTGTCACTCAACCCTTAGAAAGTTTTCTTTTCCAGGGCACTTGCTGGGAGTTCTGTCACAAGAATTTACAAATAGGTGCCTTGTTTCACAGCTTCACACGGAGGTCATTTCAGTTTTGCACCTTTGATTGCATCTACAGTGGAAATTAGTCCTTCAGTCAGCGGCTAGCAGCTTCAAGACTTCCTGACTTACACATATGGTAATTCCTGTTTTCTAGCCATGTAGCAATATGAAATATGCTATGTGAATTCAGCCAGGCACAAACACCGTGAATTTTTAGCATGTTTTCAGGTTAGTCTGTTTGCTCCTCTCAGAAAGAGTTTGCTTCCCAATCAGTACTTGGATTACTTTCCCTAAAAAACATGCAGGTACTAAGGCTGCACTTACTTCTTTCAACACCTGATACTCTCATCAAATAGGTATCAAGGTATACAAGAACCGCTTCCATAATTTTCTGCAGGACACAGAGAAATGATACTTGTTCTTAGACAGTTGGAGACATATTTTATCATAGACAGCCAGGCCATTTCTTTTGTGCGTGCTCTGTAGGCTGCACAGCCTGTTCTCCAGAGCATGTGTGTTTATGCTCTTCCCCTCCAGAAGTTCTTTTGGACAAATTTACTGCTCTGTTCATCACATAAAAGAGGAGGAAGGCGCGTTTTTCACATGTGACGAATTTCATCATGGATGGAGATGTGTGGATCCTAGAATTCACTATAACCAGAGTGGAACTGCTCCTACTGGGTCACATGCTAGGAGGGCAGGCATGCAAAATCTTTGCAGTTCTGTCTTTTTGCCCAAGTAGCTCATAATCCCGTGAGAATTAGCAGCATCCTCAACGTGTCACAGACATTTCAGTAACCTCTCTTTGGCTTCAGATCTCTGTCTGTTCAGCAAGCATAGGTAGGCCTGACTAAGATTTCACTGAGGTCCAAGAGGAAAGTCTGGACTGCAGAGTGGAGCTAATTAAGCAGCAGAGTTGATGGTGTCTTGATAGAAGTTTTATATGCCATATGTTTACGTTACGTTTTTAACAGTACTGGTCATAGCTATAGATAGATAGCTATGTATAGGCTTAAGAACGCTGTCATGTTTGGTACAGATCTAAATGCATGTTTCCTTTTGGCACATATGCATACCTCTAAGCGTGGTTATTAATAATAACTTTACTCAGTGTTAGGAAAGTTATGATGAAACAAGTGAACAGGTGGGGAAGAAGGCTTAGTGGAAAATTATTATGGTATGCAGTTAGAAGGAGACTTTATAGCAGGCAGCATGGTTCATGTGTTAGCTGGCCAGTAAAAAAGAAAACAGAAAGAGCGGGTGAAAAATGCTTTCACCAGGCATTGAGAAAAGGAACATAAAACACTCACTGACGCTCTCTTGCTTTATCCTGGCCTAGAGCAAAAAACCAAAAAAACCCAAAACGTTGCAATCACATAGATAACTAATTTCTTTCTTAATCCAAATCTCAGGTTTGTGCTTATCTGTTGGGAGTTTTGGGGCTCTTCACAGCTTTTTTGGTTCATTGATTTTTGTGCCAGTAAAAGCACTGCTTTAGCAAACAGGCCAGTGCAAAGGTAATGTACAGGCTAGAAAGTTTAGCACCTCAACAAGCCTGGGGAGCAAATCCCATTCCAAGACAGGTTAACAGCGGAATCCAAATCTTTTCCTACCATTATTATCAAATAAAACTCTCCTTTGGTCAGAACACCTCCAAGCAACCTGCATCTGTGCAGAGTAAAACTTTCAGGAGATCCTCCACTGTTCTTGATGCAACCTTGTCATATTTGTAGATGTACATCTTGACTCTATTTGAGGCAAGACATAAAGTGAGGCAAAACATAAAGCAATGCTGTCGTCATAACCGCTACTTTGCCTGGCAAACTTCTCCCTTTACATGGTAAATTAAGGCACAAGGAAAACAACATTTTTCACATGGGCTCCTGGAGCATGAAGGTCTTAAATTTTGACTATATAAAACATACCATTTTAATTGTAAGGATACAGTTCAAGTAGTGTAACATTTTCATGTAGAGTTAGTTACGTTGACAAAAAGGGGTTCATATCAATACAACTTTTAAACTATACCAATTACGAGAAATTAATCAGCATATGGTATCTTTGCACTGGTATGCTTCTAGTGGTCCCTCTAAGGTGGTATATTGGTAATATTACAGCAGAGGAAAAATCCTAACCGAAAAAAAACTTAACCAATGCACAAACCCGCAAGTACTGGTATAACTAACTACTAGTACATAAATCCAATTCTTTGACTCATAGATGCCTAGAGATGGAAGACAGCTCAAGAGATTATTTAGTCCATCACGCCCAAGGGACAACCGACTTTATTTTGATGGCATTTTGCAGTGTTTATAAGGACTATTCTACCAGCCCAGGTGCCTTAGAGACAAGTCAGCGAGCAAGCCTGGATTAAGTGTGAAGGAAAGCCACAGGATTAACCTCTCTCCGTAAGCAGAGACCATTTCTAGCATCACTGAGATGTGGAGATATTTACTGGGGTTCTCAGAGCAGATTCAGAAAGAAACTGTGGTACCCCATCTCCATACTTCTTGCAAATTTCCTGCCTCCTCATTTTTCAAGGGGAGTTGAGTACCTGCTTGTTTCCATGGCTCTACGGTCCTTCAAGTCCAAAGCTGTGATCCCAAACCCACCTTGTTCAGGTGCAACCTCATACTGGAAATGCCTACATATCACAGGAAATAAGGGTTTCCCCTAAGTTCCCTAGGCTCCTTAAAGCTCCTTCTTTGTGTATGTCCACAAGCAGTGCCCTCACACAGCTCTGAACTTCCCTGGAATCGTCTCCACAGTCCCCTTCAAGGCTGCATCCTGTAGCTCCAACTCCCAAAGTTCCTCATAAAAAGCAATCGGTGGCCACTACATTCTACTAAACAAAGAATATACTTTATACTGAAACCCTTGTGTAGGAAAAAAACAAAAAATCAGAATCACGCTTTGGATCTGGATCCAGACTCAGTGTCTCCTGTTAAGCGGTCACCTTGGTCACCAGGCTACACTCAGGAGGCTCACGCTCTCTCTTGACCTAGACTCTCCTCACGCTTGCTTCTGCAGTTTGAGGGGGAGGGCCCCCCCACCCAGTGCAACTTACGCTCTAGTGAGTCAGGCACTCTGGGGGTGGGAAGCGCGGATCTGAAACCTTTCCCGCTCCACGCAAAGCAGGGGTTTGAACACTGCTCTCCCACCTCTGCAGCGAGGCTTCGGAGTCTTCTGTGGCGGAGAAGCCCTGGGCTCTGCCTCCGCAGCAACAGACGAGCCGGGCCGAGTCCCGCCCTAAGGAGGGCTACCGCCACCCGCCTTCCAGAGAGGGAGCCCGGCTGGCAAGGAGGAAAGAAAAAAACCTTTTTCAGACCCCGGAGACGCTGTCTGCTGAAGACGGGTTAAAGATTCGTTCACGCCCGTACCCCTCGATTAGGAATAATGTTAGCTGTTAGCGGGAACCGTTCCCGGGGAGCTCGGGTTTCCCGCGCTGCCCCTGCGCTGCGGCCCGGTTGCCGAAAGGGCCTGGCCCTCA